GGTGCCAGAAGAAGAGAGAGAGAGCAAGATATTGAAAACCTATTTGAAGAAATAATGACAGAAAACTTCCCCTATCTGGTGAAAGAAATAGACTTACAAGTCCAGGAAGCGCAGAGAACTCCAAACAAAAGGAATCCAAAGAGGACCACACCAAGACACATCATAATTAAAATGCCAAGGGCAAAAGACAAAGAGAAAATCTTAAAAGCAGCAAGAGAAAAACAGTCAGTTACCTACAAGGGAGTACCCATATGATTGTCAGCTGATTTCTCAACAGAAACTATGCAGGCCAGAAGGGAGTGGCAAGAAATATTCAAAGTGATGAATACCAAGAACCTACAACCAAGATTACTTTATCCAGCAAAGCTCTCATTCAGAATTGTAGGTCAGATAAAGAGCTTCACTGATAAGAAAAAGCTAAAGGAGTTCATTACCAAACCAGTATTATATGAAATGCTGAAAGGTATTCTTTAAGAAGAGGAAGAAGAAGAAAAAGGTAAAGATAAAAATTATGAACAACAAATACATATCTATCAACAAGTGAATCTAAAAATCAAGTGAATAAAAAATCTGATGAACAGAGTAAACTGGTGAATATAATAGAACCAGGGGGCATAGAAAGGGAGTGGACTGACAATTCTTGGGGGGAAAGGGGTGTGGGGGGTGTGGGAAGAGACTGGACAAAAATTGTACACCTATGGATGAGGACAGTGTGGGGGGGGGTGGTAAGGACAGAGGGTGGGGTGGGAACTGGGTGGAGGGGAGTTATGGGGGGAAGAAAGAGGAACAACTGTAATAATCTGTACAGTAAAGATTTATTTAAAGAAAAAAAACAAAAAACCTACGTTTGCAAATATGTACATCATCAGGATGTTCACTGCACCATGGTTTACCACAGTAAAAATAAAATATCAGATGCATCCAAATGTTCGACCAATAAATTAGAGAATGAACACTTATACTATGCAGTCATTAAAAATGGTGATGTGGATTCCGAATGGCCAAAACAATTTTGAAAAATTGATAACTAATCAGGAGACTCATACTTCCTAATTTCAAAACATAGTACAAAGTGATGGTAATAAAAAAGCTATGGTATTGGCTTAAAGACAAACATATAGACCAGGGGTCCTCAAACTACGGCCTGCGGGCCACATGCAAATACAAATATTGTATTTGTTCCCGTTTTGTTTTTTTTACTTCAAAATAAGATATGTGCAGTGTGCATAGGAATTTGTTCATAGTTTTTTTTTAAACTATAGTCCGGCCCTCCAACGGTCTGAGGGACAGTGAATTGGCCCCCTGTTTAAAAAGTTTGAGGACCCCTGATTATATTATAGACCAACGTAATAGAACAGAGAGCCCATAACTAAATCCTCACATTTATGATCAAGTGATTTTCAATAAGGGTGTAAGACTATTCCATGAGGAAAAGACAGACTTTTCAACAAATGATGCTCAGACAAGTGGATATCTACCTATGAAAGAGTGAAATTGGACCCTCACCTTAAACCTTAGCTCAAAATGGATCAAAGACCTAAATGTAAAAGCTAAATCTGTAAAACTCTTAGAAGTAAAAATAGGAAGAAGCTTCATGACACTGGATTTAGCAATGATTTCTTGGCTATGACATCAAAACCACAGGCAACAAAGAAGAAATAGACAAATTGGCTACGTTAAAAATAAAAACATTTGTGTGTCAAAGGGCACTAACAAGAGAATAAAAAGGCAGCCCTAGTTGATTTGGCTCAGTGGATAGAACGTTGGTCAGTAGACCAAAGGGTCCCGGGTTCAATTCCGGTCAAGGGTATGCACCTTGGTTGCAGGCTCCTCCCAGACACGGGCCCTGATTGGGCTCATGTGGGAGACAACCAATTGATGTGTTTCTCTCACATCGATGTTTCTCTGTCTTTCCTTCTCTCTTCTACTCTTCCTAAAATTCAATGGAAAAATATCTTTGTTTGAGGATTAATAAAACAAAACAAAACAAAAAAAGAGTTAAATTTAAAAAAGAGAGAATAAAAAGGTAACCCAGAGAATGAGAGAAATATTTGCAAGTCATGTATCTAATTAAGAGATTAATATCCAGACTATATAAAGAACTCCTATAACTCGAAAACAAAAACAAAAAAAACCCCAAACAACTCAATTAAAAAAAAGGTGAAGGAGCCCTGACTGGTTTGGGTTAGTGGATAGAGCGTTGGCTGGGGGACTGAAGGGTCCCGGGTTCAATTCTGGTCAAGGGCACATGCCGGGTTGCAGGCTCGATCCCAGGAGGAAGTGTGCAGGGGATAGCCAATCAATGATTCTCTCTCATCATTAATGTTTCAATCTCTCTCTCCCTCTCTGAAATCAATAAAATACATTTTTTAAAAACGGGCTAAGGACATAAACAGGAATTTCTCCACAGAAGATATACAAATGGCCAAGAAGCACATGAGGAGATTCTCAACATCACTCCTTATTAGGGAACTGCAAATCAAAAACACAATGAGATATCATTTCACATCTATTGGATGGCTATAATCAAAATAACAGAAAATAAATGTTGGCAAGGTTGTGGAGAAATTGGAACCCTCGTGCACTGCTGGTAAGAATGTAAAATGGTGCAGTCACTATGGAAAACAGTATGGCAGCTCCTCAAAAAAAATCAAATACAGAATTACCCAATGACCCAACAATTCCACTTCAGGTGGAATATACCCAAATAATTGAAAGAAAGGACTCAACCAAATATTTGTATTCCAATGTTCATAGCAACATTATTCACAATACTCAAAGGAGGAAACAACTTAACTACCCAACTACTTCACTGACAAATGAGTAGATAAACAAAATGTGATGTATATTATTATATACAGTCATGCAATGCCTAATGACAGGGATACATTCTGAGAAATGTGTCCTTAGGTGATGCTGTCATTGTGTGAACACCACGGTGTACTTATACAAACCTACATGGTATAGCCTAATACTATAACTACATGTGCTTTACCTTTACATGACTGGCAGCACAGTAGGTTTGTTTACACCACCATCACTACAAACAAGAGAGTAATGTGTTACACTCAGATGTTAGTGGCTATGATATCACCAGGCAACAGGAACTTTTCAGCTCCATTATAATCTTATGGGACCATCATCAGATATGTGGCCCACCGTTGATCAAAATGTCATTATGTGGTACATGATTGTATATTTATATATTAAACATATATTTATTTACTAGTGGTTGCCAAATATATATATTAGAATAGTGGCTGCCAGGGACTGGGGAAAGGAGTAATGAGTAATTATTATTTAATAGGTAAAGAGTTTCAGTTTAGAATGATGAGAAAGTTCTAGAGATGGACGGTGGTTATGGTTGCACAACAATGTGAACGCACTAAACATTGGTATTGTATATAGCTGAAAATAGTTAAAACACTAAGTTTTATGCTATGTATAGTTTACCATAATAAAACAAAGTTTTTAAAAATGGTGATGTACATGTCTTAAAGGACTTCTTTATAATGAAAGGTGGAAAAATAGGTTACAATACTGTTTGTACAGTGAAATCACTTTTCTGTTTAAAAACAAACTTCTTGCCCACATGAGCCCAAAAAAGTTTTCATTTTCATCTTGGGGCTAGAGCTGTGTTCCCTGTGTGTGAGGGAGGCTGGGAAACTGTATTTAGTTTTCTGCACTTATCAGGAGAGGAAGGATGGGTGGCAGACCAAGCCACTGCCACACCAGGGATTGATGTCCTGAAACCCACTCTGTCCCTTTTCCTTTTGTATCAGTTAGCAAGTGAGACTAGCACATCTGCTCAGTGCAAAGAATGCTACAAAGATTGCAAGCTCCTATGGCTCTTCACAAGATTTATACTACTTCTAAGTGACAAACCAGAAAGTACCATCTAAACAATACTGTTTGGGTAAACTTAATGTCTGCCTGCTTATGAGCTGTGCCAGGTAAACACTTAAGATCAAGTATCCCTTTGACGGGGGGTAACACCATTCCTTTCCTAAAGAGATGTGTGCAGTAGCATAATCCAGTTCACAGTAGTCCAGCACTGTCCTCTGACTGTATTTGTACCAGAAAGAATGCTATGAAATGCTGACTTAGTAAAAACTTAAAAACACAACGACAGGCCAGAAAGGAGTGGGCTGGGAGTCAGAAGAGCTGGGTCTGAGGACAGGTTTTGCCACTTGCCACCCGAATACTCTATCATTCATCATGTTACTGAATCTATGTATCAGACTCTGGGCTATGTACTGGGAGGAGAAGGGAGGATGGAAGTGCCAAATATACAAGATAATCTGTCCTCAATAACAAGATCTTTTATTTGGGCAAGCCCCTTCATCTTGCAGACCTTCAGCCTTTTCATCTATAACTCAGACATTACCAGTCTCAAAGTGTTATTGGGAAATAGGGTAATGATATTTCACCCTTAGTGCCCTTGACGTGCTGGGCCACATAAGGCCTTGCTGTGTGTGTGTGTTGGGGGGAGGGGAGGAGTGTTCCATGCATTATAGGATATTTAGTGGCATCCCTAGCTTCTACCCACTAGATGCCAGTAGTTCCCAGGCCACTGCTCCCACCCAGTTACGACAACTAAAACTTTCTACAGACATTACTAAATGTCCCCTGAAGCAAAATTCACCCTAGTTGAGAACCTCTGAAATCGGGTGACATATATGAAAACATTTTAAAAAGCACAAAGCTCCAAATCAAGTCAGTTTTAATGTAAATCCATTTATAAGATTACTTCTAAAAAAAACCCTTTTAGAAATTTACAGTTTCCCTGGGAATGTTTTATTTTCTATTTTCATATATTTTGCCCACCATTAAAAACCCTTCAGGGCTTTTTGGCTAATTTTCTTTACCCAAACAAAGCATCTTCACTAGAACACATATTTTAAATGTATCACTTTACTAACATGACAGTCAGAGTCAAACATAATTGTCATTTCTACAAAGCAGACATTTTATCCAAAATTAAAGTGCTCTGTGCCTACCTTTTAAGGACAAGGGACTGGATCTTGTGAATTCTGTATTTGACGGCCTGTGCTGTTTACGAACTTCCAAGTACTCCTTAACTCTTGAATTAATGGTTTCTTTTAACAGTAAACAGATTTCCTATAGCAAATTAAAAAATTAGAGATAACTTTCTGATTTAATACAATGCAAAAAAAAGTCAACATCATGCACATTAAAAAGTTAACAGTGAACATTTCACCCTGTTTGCTTGTTTAATTAGCTATGAATGCTGAGAAGAATGTTTTATGTACTTATAGAGAATACTGGAGATGCAAATTTGCTACTAAGGTTTATGGGCCCACTCTGTGATCTGAGAAATTCATTTAATTTTTCTTTGCTTAGTTTCACATTTCTAAAAGGAAGATAAAAACACCTCAATGTAAAAATGAGAGTGCCAGCCCTAATTGGTGTGGCTAGGTTGGTTGGAGTGTACTGAATGGTTGTGCATTCGATCCCTATTTTACCCAAAATTAAAGTGCTCTGTGCCTACCTTTTAAGGACAAGGGATGGATCTTGTGAATTCAGGGCACACAAGGGAGGCAGCCAATTGATATATCTCTCACACTGATGTTTATCTTCCTTTCCCTTGTTCCCTCTCTAAAATCAATTAAAATAATTTTTAAAAAATTATAGTGCCAAGGTGATGAAATCAGTGAGGTGAAGACTATATTCATGTAAATATCAACCAGTTCTATTGAGACATTGAGAGCCCCAAGCAAGTGCTCACAATGGCCAGACAGAAGACTGTGGATGAAGGAAGGAGCCAGGGAATATTCAGAGGGAACCCTGACACCAACCCACTCAACGGGGCAGCCCCCAGAGCTTAATGTGGGGATAAATACAAGGCACAGTGTCACCAGATCCTCCAATTTGTTCAAGAGGAACCAGAAACTTCTATTTCACACAAAAATTTCCCATTTTTCAAATGTGGTTCTAAAACTTAAAATCTAAACACTGCCATTCATTAGTTTCTGGCCTCAGGTTTACAAATCTACCAAAAAAGGGAAAAGCATTGAGTAGTGAATTGAATAGCAAACTGGAAATCAGTAATCTGATTTTTCCCCATACTCTTGTTGATCATACTGTATGTACCCATTTGCACTATATACACCTATTAATGATTAAAATAATTTAACTTTTCATATTTCTCTAAAGTAGATTAATATTTATTAGATAACAGAAGCTCATGGTTTTAATTCAATGTCAATATACCATACCACAGCAAATTTCTACAGCTGTCTATTGTTTTTATGTATCAATCCTATATAACAAAAGGCTAATATGCAAATCGGCCCAACGGCAGAATGACCAGTCACTATGACGCACACTGACCACCAGGGGAGCAACACTCAGCCAGAAGCTGGACTCGGCGGCAGCGCTAAGCCGTTAGTTGGACATCCCCCAAGGGCTCCCGGACTGCGAGAGGGTGCAGGCTGGGCTGAAGGACCACCCCCCGACACACACACTCCCCACACCCCCCCGCCGAGTACACGAATTTCATGCACCGGGCCTCTAGTGTTATTTATGAAAAGAAAAACAAAACTTTAAAAGTACAAACATGCACTGGGAAGAAACTGTCCACATTAGCCATACTAGCAGAAAGGTATAATTTAATGTAGGAAAAGGAAAAAATGCACACTAATCTAAATTTCTTAGATTCAGACATGATGTATAAGGACTGATAATTCTGGTTCAATTCCCAAAGACTCTGAAGAAGGCTCAGAGTTGCCGAGGTCACCTCAAACCTGTTCCACTGGTTTCTTGCAATGCCATCTCAGATTAATCTCTTAGAATCTTTATAAATTAAAACAAGAACAAAGTTTTAAGTTGCTTCAGAGGGCAATGAGAGCCAAACTTGACTTTTATTGTAAACACATGTACTTCTCAAACAGTATAGAAAAGACTAGATTTAACTCACAAATGTGAGTTTTTAGGTAATATACAAAACTGGTCCCCTCTCTTCTACTCTCATTTTGCAGCCCAAAGATGCAGTGCCTTGTGGAATACAGAAATATGCGTTTACAGTTGAGTGTCTTGGCATTGTTCACACAACAGAAAGGCTGCCTTGCCTCATACTGTTGTTTTAACAATTAAAGAATTTTGCTTCACATGCAGGGTTCAACGATGACTGAGCCTGAAAATATGTCAAAGACATACATGGAAATAAGAATTGTTAAAATTTGGCCATAAATGCCCTATAAGGCTAGAACTAAAAATAGCATGACAAAAATAAAGCAAAGGCCATACACACAAACTTTCTCCCTATAGTTACGGGGCTTTCCTTCAATGAGTCAGGTTTGACAAACGGAAGGTAGACCACGTGCAATGTAGTCAAGATACCCTAGTAACTGACCACACCACACTTAGCAAAGCATTCTCTTCAGAACCAGAGCAGTGCAAGAGAAGACAAATTCCCAGGGAAACTGGAGGGGCAGATGAGAAGACCAAGTTAAAATCAATGAGCAAGAGAGATACATACAGAATCTCTAGGCTAACAGGGGCTCATGTTTGCTTTTTTAAGTTTGCACATAGAACAGTTTGAGTTCAACTGTTTGGGTACACAGACTACTTGTGCTGGACTCTAAATAAACATATGTTTAATACATGTAATTAGCTCCTTTTTCTGAAAAGGAACTGCATATTCTTAAGACTTTTACTATATAAAGTGGCTATTAAAATGCAATCAAATTGATTGCTCATGAAATCTCAAGCATGAGATAGATGATCTAATGATGAAAAAACGAAAGCACTGAGACACTGAACATAGGATGAAGCCATATAGTACTTTTCTTGACTAGCTTTTCTCCCTACCACCCTCATCTCTCTCTCTCTCTCTCTCTCTCTCTCTCTCTCTCTCTCTCTCTCTCTCTCTCTCTGTCTCTCTCTCTGTTTTATACACACACAGTTGTCCAAGAGCAATTTTTAATGTTAGTGGACATACATTAAAGAAATTTAAAGGAACTTCGCTTTGGGAGCAAAGCCCAGCTTTTTGGCATGACTCGCCCTCTTGCAGCTGCCACTGTAGCGAGGTCTGCAGGTCCGATCGTGCACTGAGCATCTTTGCTAAGTCATGCCCTGCTGCTCAGATGTAGGTACTAGGTGGAGTGGCACAGCTGTGTGTGGCACCCTGGAAAAATCTAGCCTCACGCTTTGGCTAGGAGGTGATTCACATACCCACAGCTTTATTTTAAAGCCTTCCAAATAAACTGACTCTTGGCAAAACTGACTGAATATCAACAGAAATCTCTGAGGCTAAGGTGGTAAAGTTGGGAGAATTATAGAGGGAAATATGGATTCTAGAGTGCTGTTAATGTAAGTCAAATCAGAAGCCTTTTGGGGGAGGTCCCCTTAGTCACTTTGGGGAATGAACTGTTTTGAACTGAATCATGGGGATGTGTGTTGGTAAGCCAAAGCTTGGAATTATATGAAGGTGAGCTGTAGTAGGAGATGCTGGCCTACTAAATATTAAGTCTTGATGAGAACAAAGCACAGTTATTTACCTGAAGGGTAAATCCCATGATACAGGATCTTGCGCCTTCCTTCTCCCAGTTTCAGACCACTACATATTATGAAATTATGACAGCAAAGTCCCCTAATGATTTTATAGCCTTTTGATTGAAAATGGTTTTTTTGGGAGATTTTTTTTTTTTCCTAGTGATCTCCAAAAGCTGACTGAAAAGTTATCACAGTAAAGGTGTGTGTGTGTGTTTGTCATTAGCACTAGTGTCTTCTCTAGGCACCATCTTTTAATAAAACTTAGTTTTATTTTTAGCTCTAAGAAGCTTTGTGACAAATGAATATCATAGACACACAAAGTGTATAATATTTTGAAAGTTACTTAAAGGCCATTGATTGCTTCGCTGTCTGTGCTCAGTAAGCAGGGATCTGAAGAAGGAAGCACAGCATGGGATGAGAGTTGATGCACCTTCTGACCCTCTTCCAAGGCAGCACTCGGGTGGGGAGCAGATACAGAGCCAGGAGTGACTCAGACAGCTCTGTGGAACCCTCTCATTGCAGATGAGGAGGCCGAGGCCAGGGAGGTCAGATATCATGCTCCCAGTCAAACAGCTATTCACTGTACTGCCTCACCATCCCTTAGCGACTGAGTGTGGTGAGAGAAGGAACGCTGTTAAACATCTCTGCACTTGTTGTCACAGGCTCATGCTAATAAAAGGCTAGTGGAAGATAAAAGTGCACAAGACTGGGACTTCACACAGGTGTGACAGATCAGCCTTGTGTGAGCCCCCACACCTGCTCCAGGTGCTCGGTCCATCCTGCACAACCAATCAGATTAAAATCCCTGCTTACCTGGAATAGTCACTTTAACTTCTTCTTGTAATACTGAGTACCTCTGCCCTCAAAACAAAGAGGTAGGAACTTTCTGGTTTAAATGACAGAGTAACATATGAAATGTATGAACCTGTCAGTGTCTGAAGGAAAATAAAAAAGCAAGCATATGTCTGCCATTGGGAAGATAACACCTATTTTTCAAGGATAAAATCTCACTCAATATTCTTGTCCACCAATTAAAATGAAAGCTTAAGAGGGCTAATATTTCTCCTAGCAATGGCTACTTGTATTTAGATAGTGAAAAGTCTTGTGGTACCTCTTTGTTCTGTTCAGAAAACCAGCTGGTGTCTTTGTTTGATCCTTGCGGTGAGATGTGAAGATCCACCAGGACAGCAAAATCTCCGCACTGAAAGATAGCAAAGGCAGATTCAGCTCACACCCAGCAAACGATGAGAGGAAACTACACAAATTCCTATGTGGCTGCTCATGAAATAGCAACGAAGTCCACTACTAGACAGAAATGTTCATAGCAGGGCTATCAGTCATAACCTATTACTCTTTGCAAGCTTAGTATTTAAGGTAGAAATGCTAAGGAGAAATGTCATTTTAAATCAGGATAGAAAAGACAACATATTTATCTCTGGGCTATGCCTTGAGGGGGATGCCCAGGCATCCAGAGGCAATTGGAAGACGTTCAAACACTGGAGAAGTAAAATAGGTCAGAATTAGGTGGGCTCCAGGGAAGAATGATTCTGTGAACAGCCAGCAGAGTTCTTTCTTCTAGCTAGGAGAGGACAAATATGTAAGCTCCTGTATTTTTAGGCAGAAAAAAGGATTGGCAGGAACAATGCACCTTGGAATAGAAATGGAAGCACGAATGGAAGAAAAGAACCAAAGAGAGAAAGGCAGATGCTGAATGACAGTTATCAAAACTACATAAGTTTCATTCACACCCTACAAACTGTATACAAGGCCTGTCTTCTTTCTTATTCTACTAGAGGCCCAATGCACTCCAATGCAGGAGTAGGCCTTTCTTCCCCGGGGGCAGGCGCCTTCTCTCTGGCACCTGGGACCTGGGCTTCCCTCAGGGGAAGGTTGTGGGGAAGGTTGTCTGGAAGGACATCTGGTCTAATTAGCATATTATGCTTTTATCATTATAGATAGGCTAGTGCTGTGTGACACCTGTGAAAAAAAATGGAAATATTGTATCTGCACTGGTTAACAGGGTAGCCAATAGCCATACGGACACTGAACACTTGAAATCTGGCGATTGTGATCCAGAAGCTAAATTTTTAATTTTTATTTGGTTTTACTTTAGACAGCCACACATGGCTAGCAGCTGTGACATAGCTACAGACTCTGTAAAGAGCTGTAGCCTTAGAAATCCTCAACCTTATGAATAACTTCTGAGAGTCTCAGGATAACTGTGGAAGACCTACCTTAGAAAGGAATAGAAGACCAAGACCAAAGGTAGAGGGTAGTCTAAGAGGCCCAGAGGGTCTGTTTATGGCCCATAAGAAAAAACACTTTTGTTTTGGCTAACAGGTTTTGTTTGTTTTTATTTTAAATTCTGTGCAATAGGTGAAAAGAAAGTATTTATAGTTGGTGTGAGAATACCAACTATAAATATGGAAAAAAATAAAAGGAGACCTACCTCACACCATACACAATAATTAATTTGAGATGGATCATAGACCCAAACATAAAAACCAAACTATCTTCCTGACTTTGGGGTAAGAAAAGATTTCTTAGACAGGACCCTGAACCAGAAAGCACTAAATATAGAAAACAAAATGGTTCAATTGGACTTGTCAAATTTTAAAACTTTTGGCCATCAAAAGATACCACTAACAAAAGGAATACGTGTGTAATAGACTGGGAAAAAAATACTCATTAATACACATATCTGACATAAAAGATGGGCATCCATGCCCTGGCCCCTGTGGCTCAGTTGGTTGAGTGTCCGCCCATGCACTGAGAGGTTGCTGGTTCGATTCCTAGTCAGGGCACATGCCCGGGTTTGCAGGCTCAATGCCCAGGGGCATTGAGGGGCAGGAGATAGCCAATCAATGTTTCTTTCTCTCCCTCTCTAAAATCAATAAAAATATATTTAAAATTTTTAAAAGATGGGCAAACAAAATATGTAAAGAACTCCTACAAATCCAAACAAACCCCACAAACAATCTCAACTTTAACAGACACTTCATAAATAAGAAAAACAAATGGCTAATAAATAGATGAAAAAAGTGTTCAACATCAGTCATTAGACAAATGCAAATTAAAACCACCAAGAGATACATCTATATACCTCTGAGAATGACTACAATTAAAAAGACTGACACACCAAAACTTGGTAATGATGTGGAGCAACCCAAACTCTCACACATTGCTATTGGGAATGTAAACTGGCCAACAACTCTGAAAAATAGTTGGTCAGTTTCCTATAAACATACATTTATTGACTGACTGAGCCAGCAATTCCATCTTATGTATTCACCAAGAGAGATAAAACATGCGTGCACAAAAAGACTTGGAAGAAAATGCTCACAGAAGTGTTATTCATAATAGCCCAAGTCTATCTACAGGAGTATATTTATTCAATGGATATATTCATTCAACTAGACTACTGATACACTCAACATGGACTAATCTCTAAAAAATAATGTTAAGCAAAAGAAGCCAGGCTAAAATATATATTGTAGGCTTCCATTTATATAAAGTTCTAGAATAGCAAAACTAAGTCTATGGTCAAAGCAATCAGAACAATGATTGCCATAAAATATACACAAACAGATGATAAAATACATTTTTTTTAAAAAAAACACAAAAAACCCAAAACAGAGTAACTGCCTAGGTAGAAACTGACTGAGAACGGGCACAAGAGAACTTAATGTGGTGATGGGAATGTTAAATATCTTGATAGCATATGTGCTATCAAGTTCCTTTCCTTGTCTAGAAATAATACATCAACAATAAACAATGCTTTTAAATGCTGAGTAAAACTATGTTCATATTTGTTAACAGTTATTTAAAATGTAAGTATTATGTCCCAGAAAATGTGTGGGTATTTTGGGGAAACCAAAGTGAAGTTCACTGGGTAATAAATCATGAGGTATGATGAAAGTTGATCTCCCCTAATGTCAAACGGTACAGTGTGACACACTGCACTGCAGTTTAGTGTGTTGCAACAGGCATTTTATGTTAGTGAAAGAGAATCTTGAAATGGGATTAAGAAATATCAGTGGGTCACATGGTAAAGTGGAGTATTGTTTTAGGAGTGTACTGAGTTATGATGTAAAGCCCATTTCTTATTGTGGGCTGTGGTCAAAACTGTTTGAAAACCATACTCAAATATACTGTTATTTTAAAAAATTCCTTCACAACAATGATTATACATTTAACCTTTAAGGAGTATGCTGCCACCAGGTGGAGGTCTTTTGCCACAACTACATGATCTTAGCCAGGGGTTATTAACCTCTCATATGCCATGGACCTCTTTGGCAAGCTCTGAAGCTGATAAAAATTGTGATATAGTAATGTATGTACTTGTTTAAGGCATTGGCTCTTGTCAGCTAGTGGTGGATATAACTACTATAAATCCAAAGTAGTGATAAACATAAGCTATATATTCAGACTAGAGGCCTGGTGCACAAAATTCGTGCACTTGGGGGGGGGGAGGCGGGGGGAGGAGCCTTAGCCGGGCCTGCGCCCTCTCACCCTCTTGTAGTCCAGGAACCCTCAGGGGATGTCCAACTTCACAGAGGCAGGAGAAGCTCCCGCCACTGCCACTGTGCTCACCAGCCGTGAGCCCAGCTTCTGGCTGAGCAGCACTCCCCCTGTGGGAGCGCACTGACCACCAGGGGGCAGCTCCTGTGTTGAGCAGGATCAGGCCAAAACCAGCTCTTGGACATCTCCTGAACGGCCCTGGATTGCGGGAGGGTGCAGGCCAGGCCAAGGGACCCCACCGGTGCATGATCAAGGCTGGGGAGGGATGCGGGAGATTGGCCAGCTGGGGAGGGACTGTGGGAGGGCTCCAGGGAGTGTCCAGCCCATCTTGCTCAGTCCCAATTGGCCAGACTCCAGCAGCAAGCTAACCTACCAGTCGGAGCGTCTGCCCCCTGGTGGTCAGTGCACGTCATAGCAAGCGGTTGGGCAGCCTCAGCATATCATTAGCATATTATGCTTTGATTGATTGAACGGACGACCGGACACTTAACATAATAGACTTTTATTATATAGGATATGTGCCACAACTATAATACAATATGAAAAGAGATTTTATTTCTAATGGTGACAAATATTGCTAATACTATTATGTTCTGAATACCTCACTCATAATAAAAAATACATTTATTAGAACTTGGTCAAAATAAAGATGTTAACTTTCTTTCCCACCCAAGTTCATGGACCCTGTGAATTCTACCACAGGCCTGCTGAGGCTCCACGGGTTGCAGAATGAGAGCCCCTCCAAAGCAGTGAGGTGTGCCTCAGACATTGCTAGTGGATGCAAAATGTAATGTAACACATTGTAGTGGGTGTTCTACCCTGACTCCTCTTTGCTTCCCCTTCTTCATTAGCAAAAATAATTTTTAAAATAGTAAAAAAAAAATACCATGATGCTTCAACAATCGCGACTGATACTATGTAATAGTAACTTTCTAAAGAATTAAATAGCAAGGTCCAATTTGGTATTTTCTCATCATTTTACAACTTTGATCCCAAATAACTTAGTGTAAGTTTGATCATAAACAGACTGATTAGAATGCCTCTTTAATTTTTTAAAAATAAATCATCGTCTTACTCTGGTGCTCAAACTTTCCCAGGATTTCTGCCAGACTCCAGCTCGGGGCAGGCATGCAGCCCCTCCCCCACAGCAGGCTCTCCCTCTGCAGCCAGTTCTGAGTTCCCCAGCAAGCTCTCTCCAACTCCCACACTAATCAGAGGTATTTTGCCTTTCTAAAGTTCCTGCTCTCAGAGCTTTGCTGCTGCTTTTCTCCCAGGAGTAAACAGAAGTTGGGGAAGAAAAAAAAAAGAAGCCTCTCACTGCTGCCAGGAGCACAGCCTCTCCTCCTCCTTAATTAGGAGGTTATTTCTACTCTCAGCAGATAAACTCTCCAGCTCTCTTCTGGGGCGGGGCAGGAGGAAGCAACACCACGCTAGACATCACATCTTTCTCAGGCCAGAGCTGCTCTTTAATAGGACAAAGGCCACTCAAAAGAGCTGCACCTCCCAGGCCCTGGGTTGTGAGTAAACAGACCAGGGTCTGGTCCAGCTTCTAGCCCCCTCCACCCAGAAGTTTCGGCCAAAAACCTAGACATTAACCCTAACTCCTCCCTTTCCCTAACCCTCCACACTCACCAAGTCTTCCAGATTTTACTTCTTAAAGAGCTAAACACACCCCTCCTC